TCTTCTTGCAAACACATTTCCATTTACATCTGTTTGTCACAAGGAATGGATTGTGGATATTTCACATAAATCAGAACATGAACCCAAACCCAAATTCCTGCACTACTAACTAGTTCTGCTTTCCCAGCACCATTCTGAAGCAGATAAAAGGCTGAGTCCTGCAGCCCACAGCTGGCATCTGTAGCTGTGCCCCCAGCCCTGCACGAGGCTCCAGCAGAGCTAATTATAGAGCACTGCCCATCAGCAAACATCAGGCCTGGAGGATTTGTGCAATCTGGCCAAGCTCCGGGACTGCTCCCCCAAAACTCTCGTGCTCCAATAACCAAAATCGGCCGTTTGACTGCATAAAAAAGGACAACAGAAGGCATTTTCTGTTCTCATTGGGCACGGAAGTCTGAGGCCACTGAAGCAAGGAGGGGCTCTCCGTGGTTTCCTCATCAGGGTGTGGGACAGCCAAAGGCACCAGGATGTGCCCAACATGATTTAAGGACCTTCCATGGTCACCTGCCAGGCTCAGACCCACTCCCACCTTCCAGGCAATTCCCTTCCCAAGGTGAAACACAGCCTGCTCCATCCCTGCTTCCCTCCAGCCAGAGGGTCCACACCAACCACCACAAGTTTTGGGGTTAATTCCCACAGATGGTCACAAGCATAAACGAATTCCAAAAATCTTACGGAAAAAAATAAAGCTATCAGATGCAATGAAGAAACTGGAATTATCTAGGTGCAGTTTTGGCTGGGGAAGTACTTGCCTTGCTGACTGGGAGGAACTGAGAGCCACAGAAAGGGCTGCTCTGTACACTTTGGGTTTTTTCCCTTTGTATTTCTAGCCCCGACCATCGAGCAGCAAAGTTAAATGGATGTTTGCTCTGACAGCACAGCCATTCCTACATTGTTACTGCCAGCAAACAAACAAAACATGATGCACAGTTACAGCTTAAAACCCCAGCAAAAATAAAATAAAAAAAAAAAATCTCTTCTTCCAAGCCTAGAGGGATGCTGTACTTTGTATTTTGGAACTGCTTGCAAGAGGAAGGAAATGAAAGTGAGTTCATCAAATCCTCAAGGCTATTCCAAACATTCTAATTGCCTGTCTTCTCTGTTCTGCAGAAACTGCTAAAACAGCTCACCCCCAGCCCTGTCTCTGGTCTGTTATTCTCTGTGTGCACACACACTGCTGTATCTCACTGCTGCTGCTGCTGAAGAAAACTGACATTTTTGCTTCTGGGCAGATAAGACTCCCCAGAGTACAAGGCACAGCAGCAACCTCCACTTCTGTAACCAAAAATTTCAGACATAAACAGATAAGAATTTTAATATCCTGCAAATGCAGCCATTAGCAGCATTTCTTAATAAAATTATAAAATGATGAGAGAGCCTTAGGCGATGTGGATGCACCCAGTACTTCATTACACACATGAATCTCAGTCATTATTTAAAGACAACCCACCAGAGCCCGTGGAAAGCCCCACAGTTGTGTACCAATACTGCTTGTGTAACAGCCTGCAAGTGTCCCAAAGCACCATTAAACCCAGCAGAGAGCAGCCTGATCCACGGCCAGCAGCACCTCCTGAATGGAACGAGAGCTCTGCTGCTTGTAGCTGATGTTCACTGGACACAGGGATTGAATTGGGGCCACAGATAGTTTGCCAGCCTCATTTCCCACTAGTCAATACATTGCCTGCTAATCACATTTACAACTTCAGAGCAAGAGCACAAATACAATGCTGTAACAATTTTTCCAAAACCTGTCAATATCTCACTCAAAATATCTTAGTTTTTCCTGGGCCTGTTTCATACACTTGTGGGCAATTTTCAGCTTGCTCTGGTGCCAACTTCCCCCATCAGCTCAAATAAGCCTTTTCCTCTCTGAGCTTTCCCTTTGCAATGCACTCAGAGCCAGCAGTCACATCCCCTCTCAATCTTTGATTTCCCAAACTAAACAAGCCTGACTCATCTCATCTCCCCTTCTGTAGCTTCTCCCTGTTCCTGAGCTCCCCCTGCTCAAACTCTGCTGCCCAGAACTGCATTGGGCTGGGCCTTGTGGCACCAACACCTTCATCTTACTGAGTGCTCAACATTGCATCTTCCTTCACCTGGTCACAGAACCAGAGTGCTTTGGCTTGGGAGGGGCCTTAAACTCACCTTGTTCCACCCCTGCATGGGCAGGGACTCCTTCCACTGCCCCAGGGTGCTCCAAGCCCCTCCAGCCTTGAGCACTTCCAGGGATGTGACATCCCACACTAATGGGATTCTGCAGGGGCACTGCACTGCAACAGGGCTGCAGGCTCAGCCGGCTGCTTCTGCTGCAAGCTGAGCCTTTTTTCCTTCTGTTTGTTTTGGGGAGGTTTGGTTTTGTCTGAGGTTTTGTGGGTGGTCTTTTGGGTTTTTGGTTTTTCACATTAAACAATTAAACCACTCCCAATAGAGCTTCAGCATTTTTATTAATGCAGTCCATGAGTTCTTGCCTTTGAACTCCTCAGCAGCAGGTGAACAAATGGAACCCCATCTGCTCAGGTGCTTCAACTAATCCAGGTGCCACAAGGGTGTGAAGAAAACACCAGAGATGAGCAGAGCTGGGCAGCAAAATTCCTCTCATGCACCTCTGCAGACACTTCCAGTTCTCCTAAAGATCCTCCTGTGCTTTTTAAGAACACCAGCTGGCCCAGTGGGGTGTTTTTACCTGGGCTGCCCCAAGGTGCTGCAGCTCCTCCAGCTCACAGGTTCAGTTCCAGACAATCACTCCAGACAGCCCTGGTGCCACTGACTGCCCCACTGCTCCCAGGCAGGGTGCACCTGGATAATGGGAGCAGCCTGAATTACCAGCACAGCCCTGGAGGAGCCCAGCCTCTCTGGAGCTCCAGAAAAACGCACTAATTCCTGGGACATCACACATCCCTACCCATGCTGTGGGACTGTCACCTCTGTCGCTGTCCAGAGGGAATTCAGCCCCTCCATACACTCAGAGGGAAAGGAACTGTCCTGCAGTGTCTTGCTTAGGTTAAAAGAGACAAATGGGAAGCCCTGATGGATTCTGTGAGGGAAAAATAGTTAATCTTTTCTGATCATCAATCAAAGACAGATAAATTAGGCCATGAAATCTTTCTGGTCTAGGATTCCTGCTAATTATGCCCTGGGCTGCAGATGATTATCACTTTGCAGACTCATCCCTCAATAGCTGTTCATGGATTGCTGGACTCTGTGTGATGGATCATTATCCAGCCTGTGCACCATTAGCAGGATAAAGGCAAGGTGCTGCTCTGAGCTGAAACACACCTCAGGCCTCAGAGCATGGACCAGGCTCCTCTTTCACTGCTCTGCAGTGGCAGAGCTGCAAATCCACACCCCAGCCCCACACTGGTGCAGGAGAGCAGGGATTAACAGGCATCCACCAAAACACTGCCACAGTGCCCAGGGGCACCTGGGTGAGCACGTCCCTTCCACAAGGCCAGAGGGAGCTCTGAAGGAACATGATCCCACCAAAACCAGTGGGGCCACACGAGTGGCCTGAAAAATACCAGGAACAAATTCATTTCATTGGAGAAGCAGAGTGGTTCTGCCTGGAGATGACAGCACTCTCCCGCTAACACAAGTCCCAAGTGCAGCACACACATGAATTAATGTGACAACAACCACTGTCAGACTTACTTACAGAAAGTTATTAACATTCTTCTGGTGTCCCAAATAGGACTAGAAGTGCTCGTGGGCAAGGAAAAAACAGTACAGGGAAAAATGGGGCTTTCTCTGAGAGCTGGCGTTCATTAGGAAGATTCACAGACTGACAAATTATTAATTCTCTCACTAAGCCATTAACTTCATCAATGGTGACATAACCACAGTGACAAAAATGCAGATATAGTTTGTTTTACAGTGGGCTGCAAACCTCTCCAGTCCTGACAAACACACTGAAAATGGAGCTGTATGCTCTCTAGGGAAAAAAAAAAAAATCACCTTTGCTTTGAATGAGACGAGCATTTCTATCTTTAATTCAAAGCCATGCCATGCCGCTGTTATTAATAGTGCCATAAATCTGCCCCAGTGATGGGGTTTAATTACTGACCTCAAAGGGAATAAAGAACACAAGGTGTGGGCCTCTCAGAGCAGCACTGGGGGTCACTCCCTCAGCAGACAGACGGGTCCAGCTGTGTGATCAGAGCAGACCTGCTGGAGCCCCCAGCCCGTGTCACCCAGGGCACAAGGAGCACCGACCCGAACGGCTCTGCCACCGGCTGGGCTGCAGCTCCTCTGCGGGGTTCGGGGCTCCACCGAGCCCTGCCTGCCCCCGGGGCTGCCACTGCTGCACAGCCACGAGCACCGGCCACGGGCCGGCCCCAGCGGGTCCGGTACCAGCAGCACCAGGGGGGATCGGTGGCACCGGGGGAATCGGTCAGACCTCGCCCCGGGGGAAAACGGTGGGACCGGGGGGGATTGGTCAGATCCAGCCCCGGCAGCACCGGGGGGGTTCAGGGGGACCCGGGGGACGGTCCAACGCTGGCCGATCCAGCCGGGCAGCCCCGAGGGGGATCGGGGGAACTCAGCCCCGGCCACACTAGAGGAGATCGGTGGTACCGGGGGAATCGGTCGGACTCAGCCCCAGCAGCCCCGGGGGACGTCAGTCGGGCCCGGTACCGGGGGAAGTCAGCCACATCAGGGGGGATCGGTCGGAGCCGGTACCGGGGTAAATCGCTTGGATCAGGGGCCATCGGTCGGAGCCGGTACCGGGGGGATCGGTCGGGCCAGGGCACATCGGTCGGAGCCGGTACCGGGGGCGGCGGTCCCGGAGCGCCCCCTGGCGGCGCCGCCGCAGCCCCGCCGTTCCCCCGTCGCTGCCGGGGTCCCGCACGCCCCGAGCGCTCCCCGGGCGGAGCGGGCACGGCCGGGGCTCGGCCCCGCTCTGCCCGGAGCAGCGTCCCCAGGAGTTACCCCGGGCACACAGAATGTCGGGCACCGCCGGCAGCAGCAAACACCGACAGCCGGAATGCAGAGTTACCGTAACTCACCGTGGAACACGCCGTTGTCCGCTAGGAAGTGCCGGCAGTATTGCAGGCAGCTCTTCTTATCCAGACTCCAGTAACTCATCGTGAGGCAGCGTCCCGCTCACCATCAAAGGCTCTGACCCTGCAAGGGAAACGGGAATGGGTTACTGGGGCTTCATTTACAAACAATGCCCCCAACTCCTGCTGCCACTGTAGTTATTTGAGCCCTTCATGCAAAACGTTCTGTCGGCTTCACACAAAGATGACAACAAAGGAAGTTCTTCACTCTCCAAACGTGTCCATCCCCACGGACACATCACCTGGATGGAGGCAGAGCTGTGCTGCACTGGTGCCACCAGCCAGCACCTCCCCGGGTGCTGCAGGGAGCAATGGGCACCTCTGTCACCTCTGTCACCACTCCCCGAGCCAGCGCAGGCCACTGTGGGGCCCGGAGACACGATCAATTTAATCCATTCAGTGATGCTGTCCCATATTTAACAGGCTACAGACACATCCCACACCACAGAGATATAAATCCTCCCCAAGTGAAGGTTACAGTAATTAAAGAGGTGACTCAGAGGTAATCACCCCCTGACTTTGAGACCAGAGCAGAGTTATGAGGACACAGCGTCCCTGTGCCCTTACCCTTGGCTGACACTGGCCTGAGGCACTCGGCATGAAATCGCCCATGGACGGGCAGCTTGAGCCTGGGGAGGAGCACTTACATCAGCCGCCCAAAATTAACACTGACGGCTGCAGGCAGACACACCAGCATTTCATACTTCTCTGAAGCCACGGAATTCTTAATCTCCTGTCCTGACACCAAATCCTTTCACTGGATCCTCCTTCTCCCTTTGCTATTTTATGAAGTTCAGGTTCTGGTTTCAGCAATCCAGACACCCCTTCCTGTTACATGCCCACTTAGGTCTCCCATTTTATCTCCCTCCCACCTTCACTCTGGCCAACCCAGCTGCTTGCTCGCCCACACTTGGCACAAACAACTCCAACTGCCTTCATCCAAGCAATTCTAGCAGGATGTGAGGACACTGTCACCCAAATCTCCTCACTAAACTACTGCCAGGGGGCCTTAGTAACAAAGCCACCCCCAAATGCAGCACCACAGCACATGAAGGGACACAGATCCATTTCATTCAAAACAACAAGGAAAACAAATAACCTGAAATCCCAGCCAACAGGACTCCTCTGATCCTTAATGACCAACTTAGCCACAGTCCATTCCGGGGGTGCAGCCAGCTAACAAGGGAACAGAAGGACCTGGAGAACATTTCCCCTGTCCCCGTGCAGCCTCAGTGCCTCGGTGTCAATGCTGATGCTGATTTGAGAGCATTAGAGACCGCAGGGCAGTGCCAGTGTGACACCCATGGGTGTCACAGGGATGGGCTGGGGGCTGTGCTGCAGGTGGGAGCCACAAACACCTGTGTGTGCTTTGCTCCATCTGAAAACGTCCCCAGCTCCACCGAGGGTGTGTTTTGGGTATGGAGCGCGTGTTGTTTACTCTAAAGGCATGTTTTGCCAACTCTGGAGCCCAAGCAGCAATAGCCACTACCCCTGCCAGGATTCATCTCCCACAATCCCTGCTCTTTCACCCTCGTCACCCAGCAGCTCTCCTTATAGCCTGCACTAGGGCCACTCTGCTTTACCTAGTAAGGCACAAGCTGTTAGTTACCTTTAAAGCACAGGAATAACACCACACTCCAGGCGACAGCCAGGCTTTTTGCTTTAGGCTACAGGAGTCCAAGAGGCATGGTGCTTTAATTAAGGAAACCATATCAAATATTCACCTCCAAGAATTTGCACACAATAACAGCAGATCTTATCTCCCACCCAGATCTCTCCCGTATCACAGGGAGATTTACAGGGAGCTGTGGCTCTCCACACCGCCCTGCAGTGCCTCTGAAAGAGCCCCTGAGCCCCCTCCCCTCCGTCTCACGGCCGCTGACACAATCCTCCTTTGTTCTGGCACAAAGGGTTCTCCCACACCACGGTGGCCCCTCGAACAAAGGTTCTCCCGGGCTCCCCAAGGGGTTGCATCAGCTGACACAAACATCCCGCAAGAAAACCTTCCCAAGAAACACCAGCGGTTCTTTGGACAGTGCTCAAAGTTATTTGCTTTACAGGGTTCCGGGAGCGCCCAGCCAAGATCATGCCTTACCCTACAGTACCAAAAAAACAGCAAACAAAATCCCAACCAACCCCACACTTGGGCCAAATACCATCGTTTCAAAGGAACACACACTTAGGAACTTAGCTGTATACAAATTTGCATCATTTCAATACAGGAGAAAAAGAACATTCTGTCTATGCCACTGACTAAAATGCAGGCTGTACCTGTACCACTTATATTATACATGTAGAACAAATTATTAGAGTAAAAAGTGTCCATACATATATAATTAGCTTAATTAGGACTGCAACAGCAAAACTATTTTGGCAGAAAAAGTTACCAAAATCCTGACGAGATATAAATCTTGGTTCAAAACCAGCTTGATAAAGCAGCCAATTCAGAGAGAGTTGAAAACACTCCTCACTTTTCCACTCTGCAGGTTTCTCAGCTCGGGGTATCATTTTCACAATAAGCAAATTCCTGCAGGTTCAGCCCTGAGCCTGCCACATTCATGCCAAAAGGTAAAACAGTTGGTGCTTCACCACCTGAGAGCAGAGATGCTAGTGCAGCATGTCAGGAATCCACCTATTTGTATCTGGATAAAGTGTATTAATCTGGAAGCTGAGCAAGGTGTCCATTATGTGCTGTGCAGAAACACAGCACCTTGAGAGAACTGCATCTGCTATTTCAGCTGATTCATTTCCATTAAACCTGTCAGCTGCCTTATTTTTGTGCTTTGAGCACTGTGTTCCATGAGAGACACTTTTCCAGAGAGCTTTGATTAGTTGTACAGAGCTGTACTTCACAAGAGAGTTATTAATGGAAGGATACTTCCATTAATAACTTGAGCAGTATCAGTTAACTGGTATTGTTATTAATAGAAGTAAGCTGGTATTGCTCAAAGTTGGACACAAGGAATAAGTTAACTTGTAAGTAAACTTATATTCATGTGTGCACACATGAATGAACAATGCAGATACAGACAGATGAGATGAACAGATATGATCTTTGTTGTCAGAAAGTGGGTAAACCCCTCTCAAGGAATGTTTCATTCTACACATGCTTTATGAAGTTATTTGATTCTAAAAGCAGTGGAAATGAGTGTGTGAGGCATGGTGAATGCAGCAGAGGATGCACATGCCCTGCCTGGGCTGGCAGAGATGCTTCTCATGGCAAGAGGCTCAGCACCAAGAGCAAAGCCTGACCCCATATCTCACTGTGTCTGCAGCTTCCCCTCTCACACAGAGCAAGCCCCTGTGCTGTGCAGGGGAGCAGGGAATTCCCTCATTCCAGGCAATCAGCCCTGCCACCAGCAGCTGCAGGCTGGGCTGCTCTCTGAAACCTTCTCAGCCCAGGCTGTGGGACAGGCTCAGCACAGACCTGCTCTGGAGAGCAGCAGCACAACCCAA